TGTGAATCTTCCATTCAACCCGACACTACACCAAAAAACACCATTTGCAACACATAAATGGCAACATTTAATAGTTAAATGTTGCTAAAGGGATCTATCGCAACATTCCAATACGTGAATGTTGCCATTGTTTAACAAAATTGAGTTTTGACAACATTTTTTAAGTGAATGTTGCTATTAATGTCTTTTTGCAACGTTTTATTACTGTTGCGAAATTTTTTATTTTTCGCAACGTTTATTAAACATTGCGGAAGACAAAGCTATTTGCAGGGTTTAAAAAACGTTGTGAAAAGTGCGCCTTTTTGCAGAGTTGGCACACTTTTCGCAACGATTTTTAAACGCTGCAAATAGTTTTGTCATTTGTCGTATCTCCACTATTATTCGCCCGGAAGCTCCACCACGACCGTCCTGGCTGCAAAACTGGAAGGCCTCGACTCCCTCCACCGGCTGAAATCTCCATGTCGTCTCCCGTCTCCTGTGTCGTATCTCCACTTTCCTGGCCTTTGTTTCCTTTCCTTTCCTTTCCTTTCCCTCCCTTCGAACTTCGAAGATCACCCTTTCAGAACCCTAACCGCACGGTCCGAGCCATCCTTTCGTTCTTCAAGGTCGACCGTCGACTAGTTCAATTTCTGAGCAGGTCGAAGTCCGAACCGATTCTGAGCAGGTAATTTTCTTTATTAACGGTTTTTTTTTGTTCAATTTGGTTTTCATACGGTGATTTCTGACTCCAGGTAATTTCCATCTAATTTTGACTGCATAAGCTTTTCGACTTAAAAAGTAACGTTTCTGAATAATTCAAAAGCACAAGCTGTCAAAAGGGAGAAAAATATAAATTACTGACTGCTTTTCTGCTAGGAAGTGTATAAAGAATTATATTTTCATTTGAAGGAGAGTGCAGCCAGGGTAGCCTTCTAGCTGCTTTTCTGCTGTCTGGTTATCTTGACATGGATCGGTGCAATCTCTTCTGAGACGAAACTGCAAGACGGTATAGATTTGCTGATGAAATATTTGTGTTTTTGTCTGACTGAAAGTTTTGAACTCATGAATGTCTAATTTATACAAACTCGGATGAGCAAAAACAATTGATAGAAACTTTTGATAGTAATGCTAAAAGGAGTTCTCAGAGGTTTCATATTTTGTAATCATATCATTATATTAGTATACATGATAAAAGTGATTTGTTTGATAGAGTTTCTGTAAGATTCTTTTTGATGCATAGAGCATATCTGTATTTATGAAAAATGAATGTTGATGCAGCTTCTGTACTCCGATCATTGAAAGATCAATGGGGAAACACGCCCCCGAGTTGGGATAAATCAAATGATCCTTGTGGAGGTTGGGATGGAATTTCCTGTAGCAACTCCACCTTACGGGTCCCTGCAATGTAAGTATCTTACAGCTG